GTTTTTAACAAGGAGATGCTGATGATATATGTTTTATTGATCTTGTTATGGTTTTATACTATATGCTAATGTTTTTTATTGCTTTTTATGGTATTGGGGCATTGAATTGTTGTCGACTGTAAGCCGCCCTGAGTCGCCTTCAGGCTGAGAAAGGCGATAAACAAATATGGCAAATAAATAAATAAATATTGTACATCTTCCAAAGGAAATCAAGAGCCTGAGCTGGTGTAGGATCATTACAGCTGAAACTGTACCTCTCTCGACATTAGCTGCCATATCACACAAATAAGAAAACAATCTAAAATATGCAAAGAGGCAGATTCATACAATGATGGGTTAATCTGCAATGGTATGTGGAGGTTTGTTCCACCATACTTTTCACATCACATCAGCCAATTTTGGAGGAATCTTATCTCCAGTGATGTCATCACTGGAATCATATGGGGCCACAGTCTGGAGAATATATTGTATTCTGCTTCCAATGTTTAAATCAACAGACTCTCCACCATGGCATGTCATTTACCACATCTTGGGAAACATGATTCTTTTTCCTCCTTAGAAAATCAAAAAGGCAACTGTGCCAGTATTGGGTCGGTTCTCCCTGATCCCTCTCCAGATAGAGAATATTGGGTGCATCTCAATGTAGAATTAAGGTAATGTGATCCCATTTTAACTGCCATCACTCCATGTAATGTAATCCTGCAATTTAGAGAGGCACCTGCCCTCTTGGCAGAGAAAGCTAAAGATCTTTAAAAACTACAGCTCCAAGGATTCCATAGCATGGAACCATGCCAATTAAAGTGGTTGTCAAAGTACATTAATTCTACAGTGTAGATGCATCTTAAAAGTGGAACATAACATTATTTGGTTGCTTCATGGCTGCAACACGAAATTAGTCAATGGAGCATATATCTACAAGAATATCCTCATAGACAAAGCTTAGAGCAGCTGGTGGGAAACTAAGGGCAGAAACATGATCACGATTTCTAACTTGTCCAGGATCTGCTATTTTGTCATGAACCCTTTCCTCCTGCTTGTCGCAAGAGGGCACCATTGAGGTGTAGAAGAAAAAGAAATAAGCAACCCCAAGCGCATGAAAGAAATCAACATCAGTTGGCCAAACATGCATTCAGCTGCGGGCTGGTTATTTCTGCAGTTTTTTTGTTGACAGTGATTAATGAACCAATTCCTTAAGAATCTGGGGCATAAAACAATTCACTGTGAAAAGCAGAGGCAGCTTCAACTCTCACCCTTGCTTATATACATACCTTTTTAAAATATGTAGAGTGAGTAGAATGACCATGGATGCATTTTCTGATCCAGCTTACTTAAATCATCTAACCTCTTTGTGGCCTTTTTGCTCTTTGCTCTTTGTTTCAAGCTACCATGGATGGAAATCAGTTCCTTCTATTTCTGAAAAGGACACGTTTTGTTAAATTCACAGTTTCATCTTCCTTCCAATAAAGTACCTTGGGTTTAATATTTTTCCCCGATTCTTTACTGTAATTCTTCTCATTCCTCATATCTCATAGAGTGGGTTGCTGAAGCTGAAGATTAAATGGCTGCCTTTTATCTTAGGCCAGATCCAGACAGCCCGTTATCCTAGAAGAATCTGTGTTAAAAAAAGAAAAGCACAGATGTTTCTGGGGGCCTGTCCACACCCACCCCAGAAAGCGTGCACTTTCTGGGGTGGGTGTCCAGACGTTCTCTTGGGACTAGCCCGAGAGAACATCTGGAGGCCCTACCCCGCTCCTCCCAAGCCCCCAGACTCCCATAGAAAAGTAATAAAAACTTACCCATCCTCTATTACAAGCTCTCCTGGCATGTCATTTCTATGCACTGGGATAGCCAGCCGAGGCTTATAATGGAGGATGGGTAAGTTTTTATTACTTTTCTAAGGACCTGGGGGCTTTGGGGGAGGGGTGGGTATTCCACAGTTTACCAGGCTTATTTAGCCTAGTAAACTGTGGAAATGGTGTCTGGATTGTAGTCCAGACACCGGAAATAGTGAATTTATCCCGTGCCTTCCAAGAAGGCACGAAATAAATCCACTATCAAATTAATTCGCTACAAACCAGGGTTTTTCTGGTTTGTTGCGAATTGATTTGGGACTGTCCAGAACATTGACTGGACAGCCCCTCCTTTATTGTGGTAGATATTGCAATAAAGGTCCTGTCTGGACGGACCCTTAGTAATCCTACTCTACTACTATTGCATCTACAAATACCTGTATAGTAAATGTGGTTGTGATGTGGTTTTCACTAAAGCATGCTGATGCACATTAAGGGTTCTCTTTATAAGTATCCCATTACTTTGCTTATTCCAATATACATCTCTTAACACACATTGTTGTGTAAGGTCACTTCAGGTATCAACTAAACACCACACTGAAAAGTTGACTTCAAACTGCATCATATGGTTAGTGTAGATGTGTCCAGAGCTGTCAGAGTAAAAAACAAATGGAGATTCTTCCATTTTTCAGAAAGACCAGTATTCTAGATTCTCATTTGGTCTTAATTCTGACCTCTCATTTTGGCTGATAGATTTATGCAAAGTCAAGAATGGGTTCATTTCCTTCTTAAACCCTCAAAGCTTCCCATCTCACACAGACTGCTTAGCACAAGTCGCAGTTGTCTTTTGATATCCAGTTGGCATCCTACCATGCTTCCTCTACTGCATATATTCCTTGCATTGATTGCATCCAACGCATGTATGCTGCGGTTTGACTCTCAGGGATCCTGTTATTAGCCGGGTTTGTCATTAATGATTCTCCTGACTTCTTCATTGATGTTTCTCCTGACTTCTTCTAACAGGTGTCTTTGGGGAAGTGGTACTAACTCAGTCAGACTCAGTCGTGAAGAAACCAGGAGAAGCCCACAAATTGATCTGTGGCACAAGTGGACTCACACTCATTAGCACCTGGTGAGGAAGAAACCAAGCGGAGGCTTGGAATGGCTCATACACTATTATAGCACCGCTTCTGGGCACAGTGCCTATTCTTCTGCCATCCAAGGGCGATTTGTGGCCTCTAAGGACAGCACCAACTTCTATCTGCAAATGAACAATCTCGAAGAAGATGACACAGCCATGTATTATTGTGCAAGATGCACAGTGAGAGAGATCCTCTGAGACTTTAGGCAAAAAATACCATTAAATTAATACAGATGTCAACACATCTGCTCCAGAAAACCACAAGTCACAGACTGTGTCAAGTAGAACAGAAATAATTCAACTGCTAATCATACTTTTCTGTCCACTCTTTGGCACAGAACTAGCCTACTGAAGTTTGCTCCACAATTTTTTTTCTGAACTAGCAGTATTTTAGTATTTAGTATTTGAGTTCCTTTGCCTTTGCAACTATCTAAATATTTATATTTGCCTTCTTCGTCATTAGATTGCACACTAACGACAGCCAGGTGAACCTTTTGGCTTTCTCCTTTAACTGGCCTCTGTATGAGTGAAAATATTATCTGGGCCCACACATAGTATACAATTATAATAATATTATTCCACTTTAACCACCAGCGGAACATGAGTCTACAATGGAATATGGCAGATTAAAATGCCAAAGTGATTCTTCCCAGCATTAATAGGAGTACAGGATCAAGGCTGAGGGAAGTCATGACAATTCAGGAAAGATGTTGACAAGCCTGAACATGCCAAAAGAAGGGGATCCGAACGGTCAAGCCTGTAAGCCAAGCCCTATAAGGAGCAGCTTAGGGAACTAGGGAGGTTTAGCTTGGAGAATAGATGTTTGAGGGGACATGATAGCTATATTTAAATATTTGGGGAAAATGTTATATTGAAGAGGTCTCTACTGCCCCCGAGACCAGGAAAAGTAACATTAGGAAGAGCTGTTTGGCAGCAGAATACCTCAGAGTCCAGTGAAGTCTCCTTCTCTAGAGGTTTTTGAATGGGTAGCAGAGGGTCATCTGCCAGGAGTGCTTGGATTGGGTGTTCCTGCATGGCAGAATGTGGTTGCACTGAATGGCCCTTGTGGATTCTTCAAACTCTATGATTCTATGGTTCTAAATTAGAAACAATAGACCTCAATGCTAATATATAAGATGAAAACACAATCATTTAGAACAGTGGTTCTCAACCTGTGGGCCCCCAGATGTTTTGGCCTTCAACTCCCAGAAATCCTAACAGCTGATAAACTAGCTGAGATTTCGGGGAGTCATAGGCCAAAATACCTGGGACCCACAGGTTGAGAACCACTGATTTAGAACAATGGTGAGTTATATGCAATCGTCAAAAAACACCTCCAATCTTCAGGGTACTATACTGATCATAAATGTCTGCTTGAAAACTGGTATGTGACCCAGTCTCCCACAGGAATCTGACCTCAACTCAGGATGATGCCTGTTCAGTATTGTGGGGAACAGTTATTCAAATTGTTTAATTGGTTATGGGGGGGGGGGGTGTTCCAAACTATTAAAACTTCTTGGGGAACTTCACAGTCTCTTGACTGTGAATTTCAGATCAGAAAAAAAAATCACACACACCCACACCCTCCATTTTGAATCAAAAAATTACCCTTAACAAACAACTTATCAGATTTTAAAAAAAAAATCATAGGTCCCTGGGGTATTCCTGCCATAAAGTCTGAAAATATGTCACATTGTTTCTATTCTCTTTTGCAGTGGATTTCAGCTGCATTTATACTATTGAATTAATACAGGTTGACATCACTCAAACATCTAGGACTCAGTGCTATAGAATTCTGGGAGCTGTCATTTTACAAGGTCTTTAGCCTTCTCTGCTAAGGAGTGCTAGGGCCTCACCAAAATATTAATCCCAGGATTCCATAGCATTGGGCCTTGGCAGTTACAGTGGCATCAAACTACATTAATTCTACAGTATAGATGCCCCCAAGTATTCCAAAGCAGAGAGATTCTTGTAGCCCTTATCATATGCAGCCCATGCAAATTAGTTGTCACTTCAACTCCTTAAGGACTGCTGTGGTGAGGTCAAGTCTGCAGTTTCGGACCACTTAGGTCCTATAACAATAGCCTATTGAGAAGATGTTCATCCCAATGGCTTCTAATCCTATTTGTGGCATAATGCTCTGGATGAATCTCATCTTCTTCTTTCTCATTCTGTCAGGTAACATTATTTTCAGCAGAATGCCAAACACCTATAATGCTGTCCTGCATGGAATCCTTCTGACTCGCAGTATGCTCTTCATTTTCAGGCTGCCATTCAGAGGTTCAGCTGGTGGAGAGCGGAGGAGGTGTGGTAACACCTGGAGGGTCCCTTCGCCTCACCTGCAAGGCTTCAGGATTCATCTTTACTAACTATAGCATGAACTGGATCCGCCAAGCTCCAGGGAAAGGACTAGAGTGGGTGGCTGTAGTAAGTAGACCAACAGGAAGTATTCAGTGGTATAATCCCACGGTCCAAGGAAGGTTCAACATCTCCAGGGACAACTCCCAAACTTCTGCTTATCTACAAATGGAAAACTTGAAGCCTGAGGACTCTGCTAAATATTATTGTGCAAGAGCACAGCGACTCATTTCTCCTTCCCACTTGTACACAAACCTCAAGATTTCTTTTTCAGAAAACAGACCACAAACAAGAAACCAACAGCCAAAATGTTTCCAGCTCACATTAAGTCACAGGATTTCAGCTTGTCAAAATGTAGTAGAACCAGAAATTTCAGAAATATCTAGAATAAACTTGAGAATGTATTAGAAGTTCTCTATCTCACCTTAGAAAATACACTTTCAGGGTTGATAGGGATAACCACATCTCACAAAAGAACCACCATGCAGGCATTGAAAAAAATGTCTGCAAATCACAAAGAAGAAAAGGATGAAGCACAGAGAAAAATGTAAGAGAAATCATAACTTGAGTGCAGGGAGCATAACAGGAGAAAAATATCTTCATGTGTTTATAGAATAGATCTAGGATCTTGGTTACTGGTTGTTTTTTTTATTCTGTATCAGTTGATCGCAATAGCTTTTAATCCTATTTGTGGTATATTGCTCTGGATGAATGTCTTCTTATTTACCATTCTGCCAGATAACATTATTTTCTGCAGAACACCAAAAGGCTTGTATTGATCCCTTGCATTAAAATGTCCTTCATATCCCAAAATAGATGAACTGAACCAAAAATCACAGAAATACCTGGAATCGACTTGAGAATGTGTTGAAAGTCTTCCATTTCACCATAGGAAACACACTTTTGGGGGTGACAGGGATAACCTCATTCCACAAAAGAAACCCCATACAGTCATTGAAAAACTGTCTGCAAAATACAGTGAAGAAATGAATGGAGCTCAAGAAAAAAATGTAAGGGGCACCATAACTTGAGTGCAGGGAGCTCACCAGAAAAAAATAACTTCATGTATTGTCGAAGGCTTTCATGGCCGGAATCACTGGGTTGTTGTAGGTTTTTCGGGCTGTATGGCCATGTTCTTTTGCCTGCATCTATGGTTGGCATCCTCAGACCTCACAACCTCTGAGGATGCCTGACATAGGTACAGGTGAAACATCAGGAGAGAATGCTTCTAGAACATGGCCATACAGCCCGAAAAACCTACAACAACCCAACAACTTCATGTGTTTACAGACTAGATCTAGAATCTTGGTTATCAGGGCTTTTTATTCTGAATCAGTCCTGCCCCTGTGTTTGCTGGTGGGTTTATGCAAAGGAAAGAAGCCCCCCCCCCTTCCTTCTAAAACTCAGAACATATCTGACCAGAGACAGACTTTCCTGTTGCAGTGCAAAGCAACAAAGCTCCAATCCGTCCTTTTGCAATGCAGCACCTCTGGTCGATATTCATTGCCCTGGCTGCCTCCTCCTCATGTATGTTGGCATGTTCACTTTGGAAACTCTATATTATTGTAGTTATGGTTGTTCTGAGTTTCCATATCTTAAGAAGTTTTCTTCTCCCATCCTTCTTCTTCCAGGTGTCCTCTCACAAGTGGTGCTGACCCAGTCAGGTCCGGTGTTAACAAAACCTGGAGAATCCCATAAGATGACCTGTGTCACCAGTGGATTTACTCTTCTTTTTTTTAATAATCTTTATTAGTTTTGCAAATATATACACACAAAAGGTGGTGAGATAGTGAGGGATGGGAAACAAGTGATGAAGGGAGGCTTCAACAGAAATGGGGTAGGATGGGGTAAGGTGGGGGGGTAGGAAAAGGGAATAAAAACCCATTAACCCCATGCATTAACAATCCCCACCCAAATTTACTCTTAGCAGCTACTGGATGGTCTGGGTGAGACAGAAACCAGGCAAAGGGTTAGAATGGCTTCTTTGGTATAAGAGTGCTTCAAGCAACAATTATTCCCCTGCAATACAAGGCCGATTCACAGCCTCTAAGGACAGCACCAACTTCTACCTGCAAATGAACAACCTCAAAGCAGAAGACACTGCAGTCTATTACTGTGCAAGATCCACAGTGAAAGAGATCCCAGCAGAGCTCACAAAATCCCTTGGCTGAAAGAACTTGAGAACATAGTCCCCAGAGGGGGCAGAGGAAAGCCACAAATGACAGACTTGTAAGGCAGAAGAGATATACCAAAGGAGGGGGAGATTCATCACTTTACACTAGGTATCCTCAAACTTTGCCCCCCCCCCCCAGCTGTTTGGGCCTGCAACTCCCAGAAGTCCTAGCCAGCTTGTTCAATGACCACGCATTTTGTGGGTTGGAGCCCCAAACAGCTGGAGAAGTACAGTTTGACCACGCCTGCTTCAAAAGATCCAAGCAACCTCACATCAGCAATTATTTGTCTATCTGTATGTGATTTGCAGTTGTATAGGTAACCCTTTCCTATAGCCATTTGCTTGAATAAATTCCATGTCCTTGTAGGGTTCAAATCCCTCGAGAGAATTCTCTCTGCTGTTTTTAGGAGTCAAGATATGACTTGACTCCTACTTGGAGAGTGAACAAATTGCTTAGGTGTGGCTATACAGCATGATTAAATTGTCCTTCTTAACACATCGTAGATCTCTCTTCTTTTCAAAATTAATTTACCAACCTATTCTGCCTACTGTTAAATATTATATATTTCATTTGATCACCAAAGGTGTTAGAATAGCATAGTATGCTTCTGTTTGTAAAGCTCCATCTCATGCATGTATTCTAGCAAGGACATTAGATCTGTATCATATGTCAAGATAAGACTTCATGTGGAACAATATTTCCATTTCACACACTCTCCTTTTAAATATTGGAGATTATTTCCTTCTCAGATAAGAAGTTTGCACATTTTGAAGGATGAAGGTTTTGCATCTTTTTAGATCTGCAGATCCAAAAGAGAGGACAAGTTCAGCATAGAGATCACCACCTTGTACTTGCCTGCCATTTAGCTGTAAAAATGGGAAGAGTTTGAGAGAGAAAATGAGGGAGTGGCAACTCAATTTCAGTATCAATATACTGTATTTCTTCCATTCTCAAAGGGCTCTTCCAGAATATCAAGGCAGAAAATCCCACATTTTCTGAGTTTGGACTCAGACAACCCAGTTCAAAGCAAATACTGTGGGATTTTCTGCCTTGATATTCTGGGATATAGGACTGTGTGGAAGGGCCCAAAGATTATTGTCAGTAGTTCTGAAAATACTTCTCTAGTACCTTGAATATCAAACACCTAAGATTCCCTATTATCTCCTTCCAGGCAACAGCTACTGCAGCTGGTGGTGGTGGTGCTTGTTCTGTCTCCCAGGAGCCTGGTTTGCTTTACCTTACAGTTGCTTGAAGTTGCTTCCCCTTGCATTTTTCCCAGGGATGCTGCAGCTCTGCAGAGCCCTGAAAGTTAACAGTTTCAGAGGCTGGAAAGCCAGTCTGCAGGCCTTTTGCAGCTATTGGCTTAGAAGGTATCTTTTGGGGTTTAGAGACCGCCCTTTTTCCCAGGGAAGATATCTCCATTTTGGAATCTCCCCTGCCTTTTTAGTTTAGAGAAGGAACTTCAGATGTGCTGGTGGTTAGTCAGGGTAGCTCTGGGAAAATCCTTGTAAGTACTATTAAGACTATTAAGATACTATAGATAGCTAAGCTTGATTGAGTGATTGAGTTATAGCTGATTGAGAAATTGAAGATTGAGATATTATAGATAGATATTGAAGACTGAGATTGAGATACTATAGATAGAGAAGACTATTGAGAAACTGAGTTATATAGATATAGAAAGAGAGACTTCATTGCTTTATCTCCAGAACTAACCTTGAGCTATAGATAGGGAAAGATCTGGTCTTTCTATAAAGTAACAGCTTAGGGTTAGGGTGAAAAGATTCCAGGATCTTCTCTACCTTCTGGGGAAAAGGTAACTCAGTGACTGGTGGAAATCTTTGTGATTTCATCTATTGACTGTTCTGTTTGTAACCTTGATAAGCTGTGCCAAGTCTGCAAGGACTTAGAAGAATAAATATTCTTTTTTGATGTTCAAAAGCGGTAATAGCCTCAGTTGCTGAATATCTCAAACTTCTTAAGAAAGACACCCGCAGTTCGCTCAGACATAGAGAGCAGCACATCTTAGTTTTATTTTTATGTTGTCTGGGTGTAACGGCACAGTGCTTCTTCTTCTTCTTTTCTTTTTTCTTTCTTTCTTTTGGGGGGGGGCAGGGAGATAAGGATTGGAAAAGGATTCAGGGTAATGAAAATACACCCAAGTCCATTGCAATCTAAGTTAATATGGATTAATAAAAGCATCTATGATGGACATTCACTGATCCTGTCACTCATCTACCATAGCCCCTGGTGGTGCAATGGGTTAAACCCTTGTGCCAGCAGGACTGCTGACTGACATGTCAGCGGTTCAAATCCAAGAAGAGCAGAATGAGCTCCCTCTGTCAGCTCCAGCTCCCCATGCAGGGACATGAGAGAAACCTCCCTCAAGGATGGTAAAACATCAAACATCCAGACATCACCTGGGCAGCATCCTTGCAGACGGCCAATTCTCTCACACCAAAATCTACCAAGAACAAAGAACAAGTTTCTGCCATTTCTTTGCACCTCTACCTTTTTGAAGTCACTTAAATTTAACCAGATTCCTTGATCTGATCTCTATTTCTCTCCATAAGTTCCCTTAGCAACCCTGTGACTTTCCCAAAGTATTGTCACTGTATAAAGAGATCCATACTGCTTTTTAAGCCTGGTTGGGGGTGGGGGGTGTATGCAAATTCACTGACAACTTCCTGGTCAAATCTCTCATATACTATTCCCTCATGAGCTATGGTCCATACTCTGTATAGTTGTGACCTCTTTCTGCTTCCATCTCTCTCTAAGCAAAAGGGCATTATGACTTTAGGACTTTGTATCATTTTGGTTTTAGCCATTTCCCAAGGTAACTGTTGAAATTATTATTATTATTAATACATAACAATTCCTGAAGTATAGCTTTATGTATTTACTTCTAGATGTCGAGTCGGGATCTAGAGTCAAGAGGAGACTTGGCATCTCCTTGTTTTCTTTTTAGTGATTTTCAAAGATATTTTCCACTTAAAAATAGGAATAGAATATTTTACTTATTTGTCTGTCTGAAGCATAATTTCAGGTTTGGGGTTTTGGTTTCACTTTCAGAAGTCCGATCAGCAATCCAGTTGGAAGAATCTGGAGGAGATACAAAAACGCCCGGAGAGTCCCTCCGTCTCAGCTGCAAAGCTTCCGGGTTCCCCTTCAGCAGCTACTGGATGATCTGGGTGAAACAAGCTCCTGGGAAAGGTCTCGAATGGGTTGCCTATATACATCCAACCTCAGCTTCCATTTATTATCCAGATGCGGTGAAAGGGCGCTTCACCATCTCCAGAGACAATTCAAACAACATGCTCCATCTGCAAATGCACAGTCAAAAACCAGAAGACACTGCTATGTATTACTGTGCAAGAGGCACAGTGTGAGGAAGTAAATGTGAAGTCAAGCAAAAATTTCTAGACTATCAAAAGGATGAAATAGAGTGCATCATGGCAATGCAATCGACTTACAAAAGTCTGACAATATATTGCTTACAAACCTTTAGTCACCTGATCTCTATTCTGCCCTGGCTAGATCACACCTGGAATCATTGTGTCCAATTCTGGGCACCACAATTGAAGAGAGATATTGACAAGCTGGAATGTGTCCAGAGGAGGGTGACTAAAATGATCAAGGGTCTGGAGAACAACCCCTATGAGGAGTGGCTTAACGAGCTGGGCATGTTTAGCCTGAAGAAGAGAAGGCTGAGAGGAGACATGATAGCCATGTATAAATACGTGAGAGGAAGTCATAGGGAGGAGGGAGCAAATTTGTTTTCTGCTGCCCTGGAGACTAGGACGCGGAACAATGGCTTCAAACGACAAGAAAGGAGATTCCATCTGAACATTAGGAAGAACTTCCTGACTGTGAGAGCGTTCAGCAGTGGAACTCTCTGCCCCGGAGTGTGGTGGAGGCTCCTTCTTTGGAAGCTTTTAAACAGAGGCTGGATGGCCATCTGTCGGGGGTGCTTTGAATGGAATTTTCCTGCTTCTTGTCAGGGGGTTGGACTGGATGGCCCATGAGGTCTCTTCCAACTCTGATTCTATGACTTGGAACCAGAAGTGTTTGGGAGTTTGGATTTTATTTTCAGTTTTTGTATTTCCATGTATGTATATAATGGAGATGTGTACCAAGTCAAGATACAAAATTCATTTCTGTTTTACATACACCATATACACATTGCCTGAAGGCAATTTTATAAACAGTATTTTAACAATTTGGGGCATGGAACAAAGCTTGTGTATATTGAGCCATCAGAAAACACTATCTCAGCCACCTTGGGAACAATGTCAGATTTTGGAGAATTTCAGATTTCAGAATTCCAGATAATGGATGCTTCTCATGTTGTTGTTTTGTTTGTCTGTTTGTTTTTTGTTTGTTTTTTTGGTGCTGAATTAAGATTGTCATTTCATTTTTTTCTATCAGCATCTTTAACCATTAGATGGCAGACAAGTATCACACACTCCTCCCTAATCTAGGACTGCACAATATTTTCCTTCTGATATCGGGCTTCAACATTTTGGATTGCCGTACTTCCAAAGGGGCAACCCATTTCTCTTTAGTGAGCATCATAAAGGGCATAAAAGCAGGCAGGTATGGAATTTCTTCTACTACTTCTCAAGTATCAAAGTTGGTGTAAAAAAAATGCTAATCTGTTTGGTGAGACCTGTCAATTCCATTTTGACACAACTGTTGACATAGGGTTATTGTCGGTTTTTTCAGGCTATATGGCCATGGTCTAGAGCAGGGGTCCTCAAACTAAGGCCCAGGGGCCGGATACGGCCCTCCAAGGTCATTTACCCGGCCCTCGCTCAGGGTCAACCTAAGTCTGAAACTACTTGAAAGCACACAACAACAACAATCCTATCTCATCAGCCAAAAGCAGGCCCACACTTCCCATTGAGATACTAATAAGTTTATATTTGTTAAAATTGTTCTTCATTTTAATTATTGTATTGTTTTTAAGTGATGTTTGCACTACAAATAAGATATGTGGTATGCATAGGAATTCATTCATTCATTTTTTTTTTCAAATTATAATCTGGCCCTCCAACAGTTTGAGGAACTGTGACCTGGCCCTCTGTTTAGGGTTTTTGGCCATGGTTTATAGGCATTCTCTCCTGACGTTTCGCCTGCATCTATGGCAAGCATCCTCAGAGGTAGTGAGGTCTGTTGGAACTAGGAAAAGGGTTTATATATCTGTGGAATGACCAGGGTGAGACAAAGGACTCTTGTCTGCTGGAGCTAGGTGTGAATGTTTCAAATGACCACCTTGATTAGCATATAATGGCCTGACAGTGCCTAGAGCAAACTTTTGTTGAGAGGTGATTAGATGTCCTTGTTTGTTTCCTCTCTGTTGTCGTGCTGTTGACATATCCCTGTGGCCTTCATTATTTGCTAAGCTGTGTCTTTGGTGTGATGCTAGACATGCTGTAATGGCAGCATTAGCTTGTGTGTGTGTGTGTGTGTGTGTGTATGTGTGTATTCATTCAGGTACAAGTCGATTTCAAGAGAAGGTTTGGGAGTCAAAATTATGGATTTTAACATGACCCATAGATAAATCAAAGGGAAAAGGGAAATTGTCACATTCCCCAGACAACAGCTACTATTTTCCTACCTAAGCATTCAAAAAGGCCAAAAGTGCCATAGTTCAAAGATTAGTGTAGATCAGCTCTTCTTTTAGGCTAGGCTATCCTACTCAGAAAAAGAGGTTGTTGTTTTTTGTTGTTATGAGTAAAAGTGCATTGAGCAGTTGATAAGTCCGGCCAGGTTTTTGAGATTGATTTTTTTTTACTAAAATTTCTAGACTTATATCTGAGTATATGCAAAATGTGCACAGGATCAACAACTAGAAGTTATGGTTACACACAGTGTTGTATCCTGTTAAACAACAGAACCTCTGACAACAGAAACATTCTTGACATTCATGCCATCCGGGTCACATAAACTGTGTAATTTTCTTCATAGTGGGAGGAAAATTCCTAAAATTCCTAATAGTGTCCATCTAAAAGAAACCTGGTAAATTTGGTACTTTGATCATATCATGAGAAGACATGACTCACTAGGAAATTCAATCATATTTGGTAAGGTAAAAGGCAGGAAGAAAAAAGGAAGACTGCATTCCAGATGGAGAGACTCAAGTGAGGATAAGTGTTGAGGATTGATGACTAGGTATCTCTCATTCATGGGGTCATAATATGTAGACTCAAAAGGAAATAGAAGTGCCAAAGTCAAACACTGTTCTTTTATCTTGACGTGTATGTAAATAAAGAAGCAGCTTCCTGTTTAAATTAGAATCCCGCTCTTCTTGACCCAGCTACACCCATTCTGGTGTGTCCCTAACTCCTTTGCAGTCAATCCCTTGCAAGACCACAGAAAGAAAGAAAATGATGTTTTGGCTTTGGTTTGCTTTCTTTTTAATTACCTTTAGAGGTATGTTTTCATTTGTCAAATATTGGTTCACCCTAAATTCCCAGAAATTATTTATTCTAAATTAAATGGGAAGAGTTAACTCATAAATTGTTAATTAACTGAAATGTGGAAAGTCAGGGAAGTCACCAAACAAGCAACTGAAGGAATTAATCTTGAATTAATAAAACAAAGTCTGTTTAATGTGACTTTATTTCAGGTATCCAATCAGAGGTCCTATTGGTGGAATCTGGAGGAAATGTAAGAAGGCCTGGTGATTCCCTCCATCTTTCCTGTCTTGCCTCTGGATTTACTTTCAGTGATTATGGAATGCACTGGGTGAGGCAAACTCCAGCAAAAGGCTTGGAATGGGTAGCATATATTAGCTCAAGCTCAGGTACCATTTACTATTCGGACCAAGTGAAAGGACGATTTACCATCTCCAGGGACAACTCAAATAACCTGCTCTATTTGCAAATGAACAGCCTGAAACCCGAGGACAGTGCTGTTTATTACTGTGCAAGAGACACAGTGAGCAAAATGAACCAGAAGCTCTCCAAAAACTCTCTTCTACCTCTAGCAGCTGTCCACATTCACTCAAATGAACTTGGAGAGCTGCCAGTTTGAATGTGATTGAAAAAGAGAAGGAAATCATGCAAATGCCCATCTAGGTATATAGCCTTTATTGGTGATTCCTCAACTGCCATGGAATAGAAGCTCCATGCATTTATACCCATCTGGTAAAAAGTGATCCAATCTCTTTTGGTTTTCAGGAAAACCCCTCAAAACATACGTGACAGTATAATTTCTCTGAGACATTTCTAAAATCGTTATAATTTATGTGCCTGGACCAATCCCCTAAAGATTTCCAGAAGACAGCAGTCCATAACCAATCTTAGAACTCTTTTAAAATTACCCACTTCTTCCATAGGTGTATGTGAGGCTCTGTCAATTGCATTTCTGGCATTTTCCAACTTCACATCTCTTTAAAATGTGAATGTTGGAAACTCAACTATAAAACAAGGCATCAAGTGTACATGGCATATAAGATTGTTGAATTGATCTTAAGTGGGGATTGACAGAGGCAAACAAAGTCCATTTGCCTCAGGTGGTTGCCACAGGTAGATGCAGAAGGGTTAGAGAGAGGGTTTCCCACTAGCATACTAGACTAGATGGCCATCTGTCAGGGATGCTTCGATTGCATTTTTTCCTGCATGGCAGGGGATTGGACTAGACAGCCAATTTGCTCTCTTCCAATTTGACTATTCTATGATTCTATGATACTGTGATTCTATTAAGCTTAATTCATCTCAAGACAGAAGAACTCTGAACGGAAGCCAGGGACATTTGTCCTTTATTTTTGTCATGGATCCTGAACATCCTCACTGAGAAAGACCCACAAAAAAGAGGTGCCATTCTCTCCCACTTAAAGTAATGACTCTTTCCTCTGGTGATTGTAATACCCTGATGCCCAATTCTGTATCTTCATATATTCTCACTATATTTCCACCATTTCTCAGGGTTTTCAATGCATGACGCTTTGAAAAGCTGGATTTTAATTCCAATGTGTTGACTGAGGATTTTTGCCTCTCCTTTCTGAAAGGTTCCTGATTTGTTACTACCAGACTGAGACTACTGTGGAAAGCTATTCTCTTAGCACAGAAGCACATTTTTAAAATTGAGATATGCAAATAGGGAAGGAGGCTTATTTGCTCTGCAGACCATATATAACTCAAGTTCTAACCACTGAAAACTCAGACATCCCTGCAGATTCCCTATCCAGAGAAGATTTATTCGGAAACATTCAGTGAATTTTGCTCACAAAATCAACATAAATGTATTCCTGGCATCATTTCCTTGTTCTGTTAGCCATTTTGGAAGGTATCTTCTCATCCACTAACATTGGGTTGAGGGTCTCTCTACACCAGGCCTGCACAACTGGTGGCCTACCAGATGTTTTGGACTTCCGCTCCCAGAATTCCTGACCATTGGACAAGCTGGCTAAGGTTTCTGGAAGTTGAAGGTTGTGCAGGCCTGATCTACACTGCTAATTAATGCAGTTTGACACCACTTTAGTTGCCATGACTCAAAACTATGGCATCCTGGAATTTCCAAAGCACAGAAGAAAAAGGAAATTTCTGTTTATGTCATTTTTCTTTCCTTTTGCAGATGTCCAGCTTCAGGCTGTTATAACTCAATCAAAGGCTGAGGTGAAGCAACCAGGAGAGTCAACCCGACTGACCTGCACCATGGACATAGCAGACCAATGGTGGATGTCCTGGCTACGACAAAAACCTGGGCATATTCTCGAGTGGCTGATCACCTACTGGAAACCTTCAGTCACCAATTATTACTCTCCTGCCATCCAGGGTCACTTCACAGCCTCAAAAGAGGGCTCCAATTTCTACTTGGAAATGAAGAACTTGAGGGAAGAAGACAGTGCTTTGTATTACTGCACAAGGAGGGAGGCACTGTGAATAGCTCTACAGCCAAAAGGTCCAGGAACCACAGATGCCATGTTGCCTTTGGACCACCAGGAGGCATTGATGGAACATAACTGTACTGTAACCTTCAGGCAGAACATTTCTTCTCTTGCAGAGCCTGCAACAATGAGCTTCAGTGATAGATTCCCAACCCAGGCTGTCTGTAATTCGGTATGACAAATTTTCTTCGCTGGTGGAAATAGTGTGTGATCTTGTGACAGCGCTCAATCAGCTGACTGATACATTTGGGGTTAGAATCCTAGAGTTGGAAGAGACCTCATGGCCTAGCCACTCCAACCCCTTGCCAAGAAGCAGGAAAATTGCATTCAAAGCACCCCCGACAGATGGCCATCCAGCCTCTGTTTAAAAGCTTCCAAAGAAGGAGCCTCTACCACACTCCGGGGCAGAGAGTTCCACTGCTGAACAGCTCTCACAGTCAGGAAGTTCTTCCTAATGTTCAGGTGGAATCTCCTTTCTTGTAGTTTGAAGCCATTGTTCCACATCCTAGTCTCCAGGGCAGCAGAAAACAAGCTTGCTCCCTCCTCCCTATGACTTCCTCTCACATATTTATACATGCTATCATGTCTCCTCTCAGCTTCTCTTCTTCAGGCTAAACATGCCCAGCTCTTTAAGCCGCTCCTCATAGGGCTTGTTCTCCAGACCCTTGACCATTTCAGTCGCTCTCCTCTAGATACATTCCAGCTTGTCAATATCTCTCTTCAATTGTGGAGCCCAGAATTGGACACAATTTTCCAGGTGTGGTCTAATCAAGGCAGAATAGAGGGGTAGCATGACTTCCCTGGATCTAGACACTATGCTCCTATTGATGCAGGCCAAAATACCATTGGCTTTTTTTGCCGCACATCACATTGTTGGCTCATGTTTAACTTGTTGTCCACAAGGACTCCAAGATCTTTTTCACACGTACTGCTCTTGAACCACATGTCTCCCATTCTGTTCTTCGAAACCCTTAAAACCATCATTGACGATGTTGTTGAGTAATAAAAATCACCTTATCTTGGCTGTCCTTGTTGTCACTTTCAGAGAACCACGGAGCTCTCAGAGTTGGAACACCTTTAATAACATAGCAAAGGCACCCTAGTGACCAACAAGAAGGAGTGCTCTATAGATCTCCCTGGCCATCTGCCATAGTGACATGTTCCTGATCCATCCTTGTTTCCTTTGCCACATAATGCAAGGGAAAGAGGATGTCAGTGCCAAGCCATTTGGAGATTGGATCAGGTAATACTGGAACCAATCCAGCAATCCATATGCACCCCAAAGTTCCCTGGTTTTGGATAGAATGGGGTAAAAGAGGATGAACCCATCCAGGAGTGACTACTTGTCCAAATTAGTGTTTTGGCCTAGAGTAGACTAGCCCTTGCATAGTCAAGCAGCAGACTATAGCTCTAGTATGAAACGCAATGGCATGCAATTCAAATAGTTAGCTATTAAATAAAAATGTAAAGGACTTCGGTTTACACATTTTATGACCCAGTGTTTAAACTGTTTCCTGATAGAAGATATTGCAGAGACAGAGCATATTCAGCATCAGTGCTTTCATTTAATTTGAATTCTCTTTTCTTAAATAAAAACATCACTAATTAATATTGGATTTTGAGGGGATGATTAATTCAAAATTGTGGCTCTACTAATTTTAAACCCTTCTGTGCCTAAAGAATCAACAGTCTATCTTAGTAAAGGTAAAGGTTTTCCCCTGTCATTAAGTCCAGTCATGTCCGACTCTGGGGGTTGGTGCTCATCTCCATTGCTAAGCCGAAGAGCCAGTGTTATCCACAGACACCTCCAAGGTCATATGGCCAGCATGACTGCATGGAGCGCCATTACCTTCCCACCTAAGCGGTACCTATTGATCTATTCATATTTGCATGTTTTTGAACTGCTAGTTTGGCAGAAACTGGAGCTAACAGCGGGAACTCACGCCACTCCCCAGATTCGAACCTGTGACCTTTTGGTCAACAAGTTCAGCAGCTCAGCGGTTTAAGCCACTGTGCCACCAAGGGCTCCCATCTATCTCAATGCACCTATATTCATTTGTGCCCACACAGGACATTCATTCCAGGTTCATGTTACTGTATTTCCTTACATTTCCACCTAAGCACAGCACTGCCTTCCTTTTATATTTGCTTTATATTCTCATTCCTTCTGCCCCACTTTTGACTTATGGAACTAGAGAAACTTTTTTGGTTGTTAAGTCACCTGATAAATTGCTACCCAAAAAAAGAGATGAAATCAACTTTGAACATTATTCTGGAATTGATCTTTAATTTTGGTTATTTTTTATTATTACATCCATATATATTAAAGTAATTTTAGTCCTACAAAGAGGAATGAGGCTAGGGGAGTCCATTGGCCATGAATCTTTTATCTGGAGGAATGTGTATTTGTCAACCTTAGGAGAAAAGCTCATTCATTCATCACATTATTTGCATCTATACATTCCAAAAATTCAATCCTAGACATTTCTAGATAGTACTATAGAAACTTCTGAATGAAGACCAGGACTGACAATGGCAGTCATGGTAAACAACGCTGAGCCAGAGAGAAGTCAATAGTTTGACTCTAGATGAAGCGGCTTCCCTATGTGAATATGGATCTGCAACAGAAATTAATGTTATGCTGTTTTGTAAATTGTCATGAAAAGTGGTCAAAATTACTTTTGCCATTCTTATTGAATATTTGGAAATGTGTACATTAGTCAGTTATAAACCATTTCATTCATGAAAGAAAGATTAAAGGTCAAATCAGTCTGATACTCTGATTGAGGAAAGAAGCCAAACATGTGGTTGGACCTTGGCTTACATATGCTTTTTATGTAAATAGCTCCTTGAAGCAATTTAACTAGAGTTAGGATATGCAAATAATGCCCCAGTTTTGTTCGTTTTTGTAAGGGGAGTACAAATATCTGTTCTAAAAGCAAAGTTGGCTTCAACAGGCCAACATATTTTCTTATTCTCCTTTCTTCTTACATCCAAAAAGAAGAATGCAACTTTTCTTTCTCTCTTTTGTCCTCTTGTCCATTTCCCCATGTAAGTGCTTCTTGGGGAATAGTATCATTTACAGTGGTTTTCATTTTGCCTTTGCAACTGGTTAGTTCTGTCTTAACCAACCTGTCTTCTCCTT